AGCAGGAATAAGGAAGGAGATGGAAAAATCCTAGGTGTACGCAACCACAAGGAGCGATACTCCCGAAGGGGCCCATTCTCCACACCAGTCGCAGCTGCATCTCCTGGTGGCCGAATCAGGTTGGCAGCAGCACGGCGAGCACCACCAGGACGCTGGAAATAGAAACGGGCTGTAGCACCAACAACCACACATCTTCCATGTACCCCAAAGCAGTGAGCTACAGTTCTGGTACACGTCGGGGGGTGGAGGGGAGGGAGAGCAGCCACTGGACAACCTCCCCCAACAGCTGGATGCCGCGTGCCCAGTGCTTCGCTCTGGAGGTCCCTCTCCATTCTGCTGGCCACAAGCAAAGCCTTCATTTCTAACCAGACTCCAAAAGAACAGTAGAAGTGCTACAGCCAGCCCAGCTGCAGGCTGACGGGATCCTGTGCGGTGACAAAAAGGGATCGTCCCACACAGATCTGCCCCTTCAGGCCAGCGCAGCAGAAGCAAGCCCAGGAAGAGCAGCTGGAGTTGCCATGTCCATGCTCGACAAACGCGTTGTTGGCACGGGCCACAGAGCTGACCCTGGTCCCAAAGCAGCTCCTGCAGCGCCAAACACTGCAGGTACCACTTCTGGTGGTCACACAGGTGGGAGAATACTGGGATTGTGGGAGGCAAAGGAGCAAGAAGGGACACCTAGTAGCAGTGAGAAGTTTTCCCAAGACAAGCTGGCTCTGAGAGCACATCTAAGGATGCATGGGAAATAGACTGCTGCCCTCCACGCTCACAGGAGAGCTTCACTGAGAGCTCACTCAAGCCTGTAAGTCTTGAATCAGCTTTTGTTAAACACCTGCTAGGATAGGATCACAGAGCAGCAAGAGGAATCATCTGGAACAAGAGGGTTCCAAAAGGAACAAGGGGAACCAAGAGGAACAAGATTCGGCTCCCCTGGTACAGGAGAGATGTCCACAAACTGGAATGCATCCAGCAGAGGCCACTAAGATGGTCAGAGGCTGGAGTGCAAGGTGTATGAGGTGGATACACCTCCCAGAAACACTTATCCCAGCTACTCTGATGCCTCCAACTCCCGAATCGATCCCTCATCTCACTCCGAAGTTCTCCCATGTTACTGCTCTCACTCATTGCTTGTGGGGACAGCACGAACCCCAGTCCATGGTGAGAAAAACCTGGTGATGGAATTCAGCTCCATGAAGCTCTCTCTACAGAACCACCGAAGGACACTTTAACCAAGGCTCTAGGTCTGGAGTTCTCAGAATGTTAACAGGCTCCAAACCAAAGCCCATGATGTGCAGGGCTGCAGTTTACTGCCCTTGAAAGCAGGCTTCCACCAGGTCCCTGTGAAATGTTATCCTTCTGAGAGGCCCTTGAGTTTGAGGAAGGCAGGCGGAGTGGCTGGTGTCCAGAGTACAGAGCTAGAGGGTGCCTCCCACTGGCTTGATTACAGCTCTTTGGCGGTGACACCGGACTGATCAGTTGAGAGCTGAGACCCTATGGTTGTGTAGCCACGGCAGAGCTGGAAGAGGTTTAGTTGTTACAGCTGCAGCATTTCACAGGTCCTGGGAAGGACGCCACAGCTAGAAAGCCTCTCTTGGGGCTGCATGGCGAGAAATGTTGCCTGTGAGCAGTCTCTGGCTGTGGTTTGGAAAACCTTCCAGGATCTGAAGTCAGCCCAGCAGAGAGCAACCTACACGTCAACCTCATGTGATGGAAGTCCTATAGCCAGTGCCATCAGCGTTGTAATGCAGGGCCATAGCTGAGACCTGCTCACCCTCACCAAGAAACGGGAAGCCAACAGTTTCTACTAGGGGCTACACAATCGTTTACATGGCTTTACTGAAGGACTCCTGGGAGAAGTGACACTGAGGGACTGCCCAGGTGAAGCAGAGTCTCAGCTGGGGTGTTCTTAGCTCATCTGTTTCTGAGCAAAGCATGAGGCACTTGGAATAACAAATCCCAAATCACTTTTATAAAAGTAATTTTTAAACTGCATGAAGCCTCTGGTTAGGCGTACAACCACATTCAAAGTTAACGACCTCAATTCAATTTAATTCTTGTCCATTTTCGAAAATGACCACAACGATTCAAAGCAAGGCTCAGCTGACATGAACCATCAAGGAGCAGCCAGGGACTCTCAAAGACCAAGAGGCTTTGAAAAATAACCTGGGAAAACCAAGTCAGAAAGCTCATCTGGGAATCAGTGGTAGGCTGAACCCTATACCTCCACCACACACCACAAACACATTTCTCTTCCCCACACTGAGTCATGACCACGTTAGTCAGAATCTGAGCACAACAAGCAGAAACCACTAGTGAAACCACAAGAACACCCGAAATGAAAAAAAAAAAACCAAGCAACAGGTATGGGACAGATAAGTCACAGCAGAAAAGCCTTTGCACTCCCCAAAAACCAGAATCGGGATACCAGGTACAAGAGCTGGCGAGTGCAAGGAGTGGAAAGCATCACTGCTGTCTAGTCTACAGGGATCTACTGCCACTATGTGATGCACATTGTCAGGGGCAGGAAGAGTGACTCTGCCCTGCTACATGCAATTCATCATCATTAAGAGTGTGGCCTCTCAGCACTAACCTTGACACAACAGCAAGATGGTTTCCACCACAGGGATGGTCTCCCTGAGAAGCCAGAGAGACCATCCCATCATGCGTTTCTTGGCACCAGAATAACCAGGTATCTAGGAGCATCTCTTGTTTTCTTTGTAGTGAAAGGGAAACCAAACCAAAAAAAAATGCTCTAGGATAGTCAGCACAGCTTTGCTGAGAGACCAAGTGGGGCGTTAATATGACACATTGCAAAGAGACTTGGCTTAAAGGAAACACAAAGAGAAGGAACAAAGAAAACTTGTAAAGAGATAAAGATGGTGTTGCTACAAAGATGAGAGACAGGTCCGACTGCAGCCAGACAGCAGCAAGCTCAATGGTGACCAACAGCAGAGGAAGTCATCAAACGTGAAAGGCAAAGCCAGGTACTAGAGTATTTCCAACCTAAGTACCCACAATCAGCCCATCAGTGTGCCCTAAGCCTGGGTCTAAGAAATGGAGAGCCTGCAGAAGAATCTCCCACCAGGGCAAGCTCATATGCTGCCTCAAGTTCAGCAACAGCACTGGGGCACGATGGGTTAGGCTGGGCAGCCCGGCAGGTCCAGCATCAGAGGCTCCAGCGAGGAAGCCTGCCCACTGAGCTAAAGCGTCTCTGCAATTGCAGCGAGGTAAGGACTGCGGGCTGGGGCAATATCCATCACTAGGACAACGAGCAGAGTTGAAAATCAATAGATGAGCTTTCAGGCACATGAGCTGTTCCCCAGAATTGAAACAGAAGCCCCAGATTTGCAAGTTAAATTATTCTGCTTAGTGCAGACCTCTATTTCTGTCTGCCCAGAAGAAAGGCTTCGGTATGCTGAGCTCCTTCTGCTTTTTTTCAACTATACGAGTTGATCTAATAAAAATATCTCCTCCATCTCTAAACCTCGTGTTGCCTGTTTTCTTAGACCACCATGGCTCTAGCACTGCTTCAAAACCTTCACCAAAAGGTAGTGACAGGCATTCCCAACCACCTCCAACACCATCTGCACATTCACTGCCGCAGTCGTCTTCTGCAGTGCAGGGGACACCTGCCCCCCTGCTCTGCCTTGATTTCAGACCTCACGTTCCAGCTGCAAATCAAGCCTTCAAATGCAGCAAATCCTTAAGGCTCTGGGCTACTGCACAGAGCTCACACACCACCTTCCCTTCTTCAGTGGCACACAAGCTCTCTTGCTGCTTGAAGCCCTGGCAGAGACTAACCTCCATTTTAAGGGCAAACTTCGACACAATCTGTTCATCTTTCATTGAGCCCTCCAAAATAAAACCAATTCAAGAACGGCAGTAAAATGCATGTTGGATCTGAGCTCCCCTGGGTCCTCCTCAGAGCTACTGACCTAAAATTCATTTGGTGCAGAATTACAGTTCTGCCCATGCAGCCAGACTGAACCTGAAGCCTCCTAACGGTACACCAGCGGATGCAAAGCATGCGGTCCTGCTACACGGCCTCACCAGTTCAAAGCACACGCTCAGAAACACTTAGAGGCAGATGGTTTGGATGCCAAAAGCTTAGCAGCACTTGAGTCCCTGGGCCTGATGCATACTGCAGCAGTGACACATTAGTCCATCTACTCGGAGGTTACTCACCCACAGATACTTGCTGGTCGCTTTTGGGACCTGAAACTAGAATAATTTTCTTAGTAATCCTTAAAGAAACATTGCTGCTCCTTTCCGACCGGCTCAGAACTTACAAAGCTAGTACTGACCCTAACCCTGATCTCGGCATGTGCAACCTGCAAGGGTGAGCACAGTTCACACTAGTGTTCTCAAGACACTTCCAAAATTTAGAAGTGCTCATTTAGATCAGCGTTACATGGAGGGGTCAGTAAATACTATTATTCTTGAGCCTTAGTGACAGAGCCCTCCTGTATAGAGAAAAAGGGGGATTTGTGATTTAACACAAAAACTGACAGCCCAACCGGGCAGCACCCACGGATGTTTCTTGCAGGCTAACATGACCTGCTTCTACCAATACAGTGGTAGATGACTTCATATTCATCAGTCCTGTCCCTCTAGCTGCTGTGAGAGGTGGATTTACCTATTTCTCGGGGCTGCGAGATGCTTCTACAGTGCAGCCACTAACACAGGCAATGTCAAGTCTTCCACTCTTCCCACTCACAAAGACAAGCGTTTGAGAGCCTTGTGCTCTGAGAGAGGCATGCACCACGAAGGACCAAGCTCCTCCAGTCCCCATCATTAGTGCGTGACAGAAACCTCACCAGGTTTCCTGTGGGGTTATATGATGTGTATGGCTGGGACCGAGCCTGTGGGCAATAAATACATCAATGACTTTGTGGAGGTGGAAGAGACCTTTTTAATAAACAGGATTCAAATAAAATAAAAAAAAAAAATCCCTCTGAACTGCCACTGCGAGAAGAGTTCAGATAACTAGCACAGAAGATGTATGTGCACGATGGAGGGAGAAGGGAAGAAAAGAACAAGCTGTCACCAACTTGATGAGCTTCCTCAGTAAATCAGCAGAAACCAGCTCAGTAAAACTCTCCAGATAAAATACTGGTGGATCCATGAGAAACAACTCAAATCAAAATAAAGAGAAATCCCTACATCGGAAGGCGCTACATTAGAATAACCAGCGAAATACTGAGTGCCGCTGGAGCCGCAGCAACGGCAGAGAGACACGTAAGATCTGCCAGTCGTTCCTGGGGTCAGGAATAGCCACACAGTGGGACTCACTCAATCCTTTCACAGGCAGTGTGTGTGTGTGTGTGTGCTAGAGGGGGTGTTGGTGGCAGGGAGGTCAGGCTATCGAACGAGGTGGTGGTGTAGAGTGGCAGCAACGGAGGGTGAAGGGCAGCACTCAACGATGTCAACTCCATCTTGCTCTGGTGGCTAGTGCAAATAGTCGTCTACTCTGGCAAAGGAGCAGGAGCCCAAGCCCACGCGAGCCATGAGCCGCAAACACTCCGAGGCCTGGCCCAGGGCAAGCATCAGCGGGGGCTGCTTTGGCAGGTTCTGAGATTCTGTGGGGGCAAAAAAAGAAATCTGTTTAGAAGAGGTGTCCTGGCTGCGTGCCGGCTCACCTGCACTCCGGTCCCTCTCAGTCTCACCTGGGCACCAAGCCCAGCATCCCTGACACAAGATGCTGGGTCTGGAAGGAAGCTACTCCTGAGTAATGCTGGCTCTGCACCGCTGCTCCTCCGCACACCCCACCACCCATGACACATCCCATGTGGGGCCACAGCTCAATGGGGCCTTTGAGAAAGTGCTGCTGTGGTGGCCAGAGCAAGAGAAAGGCAGTGGAGCTCCTGCTGCCTCAGTGTCTGCCAGAAAACCCTCAAAGCATGAGAGATCAAAGCATGGAAGAATAAGGAAAGGCAGGAGAAACTGGCACCAAGTGAGAGGCATCCTCTCCATCTCTCCCACTTGTGCAAGTCTATACAGTAGTCCAAGCTCTAGACAAACTCACTCACTGGTCACTGCTTCTTTTCAACTTCATGTTTGCTACGTATGCAAGAGGGAATCCTCAGCTGAGCTAGACAAAGGTGTCTTGTGACCTGAGTGACAAAGCATGTCCAGACACCATCTTTCACGTCTCCCTGGTGACACCCCTCAGCAACTTGTCTGTACCTCTCAAGCACTGGACAAACAACGGCTGAACTGAGCCACGCTGCTGGACACCTGCCCATGCAGACTGTCAGGGGAAGGGACTCTCCTTCCCAAACCATAGAATTTCTGTTCCTTTACTCAGACAGAACAGGAGCCCTCAGAGGTTTGTTCATCAAGCTGTTCCTTCCCCAGAAGATAATCTCTAAATCTCCTTCTGGCACATTCAACGAGAGGTGCACAGACCCACTAGGAAATATGTCTGGGCACAGTGAGCTAGACTGTGCACAGAGTCAAGCATGGGTTTCCGAGACAGAGAAGCTGTCCAGTGGACAGTGTGTGGCCGGCTGTGGATGGACTGAGCTAACCCAGACCGGGGAGTGTCCTGTGAAGTTATCTGAGCAATGACACAGCATGTGCACGGGCTGGTGACAGGATCGAGGACCCTGCCTAGAATGAAACAATCCCTTTCTTGCAGACTGGTGGCAGGCCATAATCTCATTGTCACTATACCCATTTCTCCACCATGGGATTTTCTCTAGCTGAAGATGCCAGGAGGGTTAGCAACGACATGGCATCTCATTGATTGCAAGCACAAGACTTCCATCAGGGAAAGCTACTGCATTTACTACACCACGTTCAAGACAGAAGAGTAAATGACAACAAGCTGTTGGGCCAAGGAACGTGCTTGTTTAAGGAAAATGGAAGAGCAGGTATAAACATTCAGCTCTGAGGACACAGAGGAGGGCAAGAGACTCCTCATACCTGGATCCAACCATGACCCATCCTGCTGACACAAGGAGCAAAGCTCATCAGAAAAAGGGAGCTGTCTTGCTAGCTGAAGAAAACCAACCTATAACCAGATCTCTGCACAGAG